TCTTTTGTTCCTTGTGTGTAGCCCTAATAGCTTCGGTAGCATCTGCCCCTAACGGTGTAACTCCATTGATGATGATCTCAAGAACCTCTTGATAACCAAACAGAACCTTCATTTGTTTCGCCCATTTGTCGGAGTTCTTTGAATCAAGAATTGGAATATTGGTGGGAATTCGATCATTAGAAACGGTAGCTATTGTTGCATCGGATTAGGATCAATAACCGGAGCTCTTGATGCCAAATGTTAGAACAACATAAAACATAAAACCAGAATTTTGAAGGTAGTAACAATGGTGAAAAGAAACTTAGAAAGAAGATGAATTAAGAGAAAGAGAGAATATGGAAGAGAGTAATATTGGATGAATCACTAAATTGGAATTAACCATGAATTGGGATTACAACAATGTATATATACACATGAGAGAATAGCACAACTAATACAAAATACAACTAAAGTGTCATGCTGTTAAATTCTGTTATTTTAAAAAACTAACAGCTTTTCAAAACAGCTCACAACACCATATATAATTTGGAAGAGTAATCAAAGCAATTGTATTTGCAATCACATGATTGATATATATAACTAAATTGCCATCTAATAATAGTGATCTCAAAATTAATATGAATATGATTTACCCGGAAAAAACGTGCTCACATCCTACAAGTTCTAAAAATGTATTTCTAGAGACATTCCAAAAATGCATTTTCGAACTAAAATTAATCATACAATTAGAGTGTTGTTCAAAATCGAATGAATTGTGTGCATGAGATACGTCTGAAGATGCATCTTCATATTCTGAAGGTATTTTTAACTTTTCAAGAGATATCCTAAAAAATTATAGGGTGCATTAAAAAATCCCTATGTTTTAATCAAGTTTTAATCAAGTAGTGAATTTTTCATAACTTTATCTAAATAAAAGTTAGAGAATTTCTTATAGAACCCTTAATAGTTCTACTGCACCATGTAAAATTTCACAAATGGCTCCTAATTTCAAAGATATATGTTCGGACGCACCCAAATGTAAGTGAACGTTTAAACATTTTGGAGATATATCTCCGGAACATTTTGGATCATAAGTCGCGTCAGACTCTTTTTCTTCCTTATTTCACACTTTTCTTCAAACTCAACTCAACCTCTCAATACACTTCAACTTCACCAAATCAAATTTCATCAAGCAAGGCTCAAAGGAACTCAAGGAAACATCAAGCATCATCTATAACATCATTCAGCTTCATCAAAACCATGAATTTCAAGTATGTTTTTTGAGTTTTCGGTAAATTTAGAGTTTTAGTGTAAATGTGTAGAAATCAATGATTAGGATTAGAAATGTGTAGAAATCACATGTAACATAGTTTAGCCTTAGGGTATAACTTGTTTGTTGGCTAGAATTCGTGATCAGATCGTATTTTTGTCAAGCTGCATGTGATACATTCGTCATTGACGCAACTTCTGAGCTGCAGAATATTTCGGAGATGCATCTCTGAAATTGTTCAATGTTTTAGTTTAATGGTGTATCTCCGAAATTGTTTAATGTTTTAGTTTAATGATGTCTTCGGAGATGCATTTTCGGAATTTCCTTCAATATATTTTTTTATAAAAAAATTATTGCTTGTGTGCGTTGTTTGTGCGCACTAATGATATGCCTTACTTTACCTTACAAACATAATGGATAACAAAGTTGACAAACTGAGACATGGCAGGGTTACTTAGCATGCATCTGTTTGGCGGGCGCAGAGCCAGCATGTTCCAGAGGCTCCAGGTACCTCTGGTCAAGCAGAGGCGTCGACTTTTGAGACGTCGTCTACTCACGGGGCTCGCACTCCACCTTCTTCTTCTTCCCGTAGGAGACGAGATTCACCATCTGACGCATCACTCCCCCATCCTCCTATAACCGTCAAGATTCACTAGTGTCACCTCCTATGGATGATGTTGATGTTCCAAAACCACCTCCCATTGTTGATGATGCTGATTTAGTGCCACCTCTAAAGGGTAAGGTTGTTGCGGATGCCAAGCCAAAGACTTTTGGAGAAGGTCCTTTTAATTTGTCTATTTTTCCTTTGTATCTAGACCATACTGCCATACATATCAGAGATGGAGAGGTAGCATTAGTTGGATTCTATATTTTTTATGCGTTAATTTTAATTTCTAACATTGATAATTTCTGACATTGATTATTTCTGACAAATTTCAGGAGCGTGATCCCCTGAAGTTTCTTAATCACGGAAGGAAGATTGCTATGTTGCCTCAGTAGGAGAAGGATTGGTTTTAGAAGGTTCTTTCCTTATCTAGCCTGAAGGACCTATGCATGACCAATTACACTCTGAACAACCACGAGATGCTTAATGAATTTGTGGAGAGATGACACTACGAGACCTCTTTGTTTCATCTCTTGCATGGTGAAATGTTTATCACACTGAACAATGTCTCGTGTTTGTTGCATCTTTCGATCAGCGAGAGATTTCTCAATCATGGGAGGATGACGAGAGACGAAGCAGTCGAGATGATGGTATAACATCTGGGATCCAGGGGATGCGATTGAGGAGATGGATAAGACTATGGGTGCTCATTCTAGATTTGAGTTCCTGAAGAAGCTTTATGTGGCTGAGATCCAAAAGGCACAGCAGACACATGGTGATGATGTGCAGGTGGCGGGTGGTACACAGGACACATGCTTTGAGAGCATACTTTCTTTTTTTGATTGACACTTGCATTTTTGTGGACACGAGTGCCACTTATATCGGCGTTGCCTACCTACGGTACTTCTTCGATCTACAGCAGATTTATGAGTACAACTGGGGGTGGCTTGTCTAGTCTATCTTTCTTCGAAGTTGAGAGGGGGCTATATGTGGAAGACAAAGCAGGTCACAGGCAGCGTGACACTACTGGTGGTAATCATTCTTGATCCTTGAAGGGTTTTTTTATCATTTTTATTATTTATTTACAAAACCATAGCCGATGGTTCGTGTGTTCCAAACTTTTTATTTTAGGCTTGGATCTTCCAGCACTTTCCGTGCATCGCTGGCTGGGCGAGTGTGCCTGATGACACTGAGGATATGTCGCGTGTCTGTGCTTTTAACCCGCTCAAAGAGAACCGGGAGGTCGAGTCTTTTAGAGTCTATCTTGATTGTTTGGTTGCTAAGGACATGTACTTCAACAGCTACGTGGATTATCTTCAGACGTGACCATTTGACGAGATATTGATATACTCTGGATAGTTGGCCTGCGGATCACGTCTTACTGCTCCTCATCTGCCCAAGCGTGTCATGCGGAAGTTCGGGTACACACAGACCATCCCTAGACACCCTGTTGTCTCTACTCCTTCTGCCTTGATTCATAGACAGGTGGAGGAGATGTTTGATGATTATGAGAGTTATATGGTATCGGAGGAGGCATGACTACCATAGCACTGAACAATTGGAGCTACGTCGAGGGGTACATTAGATGGTTTTTAGGGTGTCACATCCGTACATGGTGCATGCTGATCTAGGAGATCCACCGAGACCAGCTCATCAGGAGATACTAGAGGAGGAGCAGACTTAGTTAGATCATATTGATGATGTCTTGCCTAGGTGTTGTTGCATAGTGAAGATTGTGTGTGCAGACATTGACGAGAGTATCTTCTCTGATGAGTTTGGTGTCAGGCGAGTCCTAAATGCCATCATGGCGGAGGCACATGGGACACTGTTGTACCGAAGAGATCGTCGGAGGATGGGAGGGATTGATGGCCGAGGAGGCAGAGCAGACAGAAGAGGTAGAGGAGATGTTAGACACACATAATAGTAGTCTGTTATTATTTTGTTCTAGTATTATACTCTCTACTTTATTTTGACAGTTTTACTACACTTTGGATCTCGATTGTACAACAGTTTTTACATATATTGTCAATTTATTTTCGACACACCCAATATTAGTCTCTTATTATTTTGTACGTCTATTTTTTTTTTTTTGGATCATGCGTTATATTTCATTTGAACACAAATACACAATTTATAGGAAAAAATACCTGTTTTGATACATTGCAGAGATACTTCTCCAAAATATTCATAGAGATGTATCTCTGGAACAATTCAAATATAAATAGCTTCTAAATGTGTTTTGAATGTTTAAAATGATTCCGAAGATGTATCTTCGAAATATATCAATTTTTATATAAAAATAAATGTATCTAAAAACATTTAAATAATTTCGCATGACACTATCTAAATGCATTAAGAAATTCTCTAAAAGTTATATCTAAGAATTCCTACATTTTAGTATTCCTACATTTTTATTGTTTCCATGGTATAAGGTTATATCTAGAATTTTACTAGTTTTCTTGTCTTTAAAAAAATAAAGACCCTGCATGTTTAATCGTTTGATGAATAAAAGTTCAAACATTACCTATTCAACTTTATATTTACTCAGTATTTTAAACATATTTTATACTATACAAGTTCATTTGAAGTGAAACCAAATCTATTAGCTTTCTAACATTTACTTTTACATTTCTTTCGATGAGAGCATCAAGCCTAATCGGGTTATTTTCTAATGTGAGTTAATTCATGGATAGCATGAAATAATTCATAGGCTAGGGTGCTCATTGTTTATATGTAATCAATGTCAATCTTTTATGCTTTTATTTTCTTTAAAACAAAAGAGCCCAAAATTACACATTCTCCAGAAGTTGCAACAATATTCAACCAAAAAAGTTTGTAAATGTTGTTGACAAAGGATAGAAAATGCAAGACAATAGACTAAATTCATCTACAATGATTGAGGTAGACGTGATCATATTATCCGAATAGAAATCCACATCAATCATGCAATGTCCAATGTTGAGTTCCAATTTCTCATTCCATTTCTGGTGTTCCCCCTCTCTAGTTGTCTTCTGTTAAGTGTTCATTAGAGGTGCCTGCTGATTGAGAATGATCTAGTTGTCAAGATCTTGCCTACTTTTAGTCATTTAAAAACCAGATGAGACGTCATGCTCAGCTGAGAAGTGAGAATTCCTTCCAATAGACGTTCTATTCAAGAAAAGCTTCATAGGATGAGGATCCACTTGACGAATCACTGTCATATATAGCTTCCTCTTTGGGAAATGACGGTTGTAATTCTTCTTTTTGAACTGCGGTCGTTGAGGATGAACCTATAAAAATTGACTATTTAAGTCCTCAAGCAATCAAGTCAAGAAGAAAGAAATGGACGAGCATAAATAAGTCAGCATGCATAATTAGAAAGCAAAGCATCAAAATGTGTCATTTGATTTGGACAATTTTTATAATGTTATCGGAATAAGACAAACCTTTCTCTGCTTTGGGGTTGATCTTCTTAGAGTGCCGCTTAATAAGTTTTTTGGCTTTTATTATCGTGAGCTGTCTAGCAAAAGGAGAAATCTCTACATCATTTTCACTCCAATCTCCTTGAGCTTCATTTTCTGCTTCATTTTTCATTGTCTTGAGCACAAACGCCTTTGCCTTACGGCGTTGAGTGTTAAATAGACCTTTAACAGATGTTACAAATCCATCGCCCGCTCCATCAGTAGGGCGCTTAGGCCAAGATGGTGGAAGCTTATCAGGTTTTCCTGCATGGCCTTCCGTATCACTAACATTAAGATCAATTTCTGGAACAGTGGGTCCACTGGGCTGATTCTGACCTTTGTCTTTAAATTTCTTCCCCTAGATCCATGAAAATGAAACATTTAAATGAATTCATTAGCAGTAAAAGATTGTCACCAAATAGTTCTAGGAAATTAGCATAGTATGCTTTTCTTGATTGGCAAAGGCCGTTTCAAAGGCAATTGCAAAAATAGGTTCTTTCAAAAGTTTCTTTTATAAGGTCTTTGTAGATTTGCTTTGGAAGTGGCGGGTAGGAGTAGCATATGTCTACAATGGAAAATATCAAGAGCATAAAGTTATCCCACTAACAGTAAAGTTAAAGCTACTTATCACCTGCATGCCAGTCACAGACTTTAAGACTCCCCAAATAATGTGCTTCTTAACTCGTGAGAAGAGTCTTCGCCAAGTCCCGCTAAACTCGGCCCGGTGAAATTGATCCATCAGTAATTTCAAATCATTTACGACAAATCTTTGCCCTTCATATGTAACACACAATTCCACCTGCAAGAAAAAAGACATGAGTTTCTTGAAATTGGCGTGATTTCAACACAATCAAATAAGAGAACTAGGAACAGATAATAACAGGTAAAAACTTCTAAAGAAGTAACAACAACCTGACTAATTTTGATGTTGTGAAATTCCATTATCTTTTGTGGCTTAGCCACCTTCTTTTCTTCAATAGATGATTGACCAGCTTTTACACCTTTCGGATCTTTTGATTTACTCTTGGAAGCTTCATCTTGTTGCTCGGTAGAGTCAAATGGGCTAATTTTGTTTGAAGCTAAACTTTGTAAGACGAGTTCATCAGCTACAGATTCTGCCACGGTCTCTTCCCATGACTTATCAAAAGAAGATGACCTTTTCAACTCGGCGGTTGAACCAGGAACTACTTTTGCATTTTGTGCTTTGGATGCCTGCATATATGTTGCCAAACTTCTTATGGAAGATCTTTCTTGAATATTAGTCTGTTATAAACTAAGTGTGTTGCTTACATTTATTTTAATATAATTATTTTAGAATCGTGCACACCAATAATGCATTGGTTCAAGTAGAACTAGACTCGGATTCTGTAAGTAGGGTTTTGGATTCAAGTTGTGGGTAGAAAAAAATGGTTGGGAAGGGAGACCCCATTAATCGTGGGCAGCTAGATTCCACAGCAGATACTAGTCTCATTAAAGCCGATAAATATTTCGCACCAATAACATGGTTACCCCGAAAAAAAACATGTACCAAACAATTCATCAAGTACTCACCTGTGCAGAACCAGCTTGGGCAGAAGCCTGATTGGTTGTAGGAAATAGAAATGAAGAGATGGAAGATTTGGACGAGGCCTCAGACTCCTTTGTCGACTGATTGCTGGAGGTGGAAGCTTCACTGGCTGAAGAACCTTTTTTAACACGCCTTGCACCAGCTGTGGTTGAAACCTTCCAAACTTCCTGCATGATAAATCTGTGAACTTTAGTCTTGGTTGTGGAAACAAGTTATCGAGGCATTTGAAATTTTAAACCTACCTGTCGGCGTTGTGAAACTCGGTCTTCGTCTGGGAAGAAATATCCCCACATCATCCTATACATTGTCTCTTGTAAATGGATCTTAAGTGGATATATTTCTACCTATAGTGTAAAATAAGTTCAAGTAAGTGAACAAAAGACACAAATCTAGGCATTCCAAGCTAACATCTAATAGATGACATTTTATAGTGAACTCCATTTCCACTTATAAGATTACCAGTGCAAAATTTAATCATTAGTAATTTATTTAGATATTAGAGTAAGTTAGTATTAGCGCTGCTAACACCTGTACATGATGTACAGATGGTGCAACCAGTCAATATCACTGATAATTACTCTGTTAATCAAGTTAGTGCCTTTTTTACATTTACATATCTCATGAAGTTTTATGTACCACCGTCATATGTAGGTAGGATATATTATTAACCACTCTTAGTATCTTCGCCTTGTTTAGTAGCTCATAGATTGTTGGGTCACCTAAACCCACCATACCTAAGCCCAAAATCCAGAAAGTCTATTCTGGAAGGCCGAAGATGAAAGGAGGCGCCATTTAGTTAGAGGAGAAAGAAAGAGGGGTGTTTGGTAAAGAGCTTAGGGGACTATTGTTTCATAGATTTTAAGTTTATTTCCCAAAATGTGGTCTTAAATAATGGTGCTAAAGTTTTCCATCTATAATATTAGTCACCCAGTTAACTTCGTAAGTTGAGGTGACAAAGCGAAGCTTTTCTTTTCTGACTAGGACGATGACTAGATGTTTAGTTGGTTCTAGATACCATATTAAAATAAGAGAAAATGAATGACATTTGTAGAAACTGGATATTTGAATATCACTACAGAAGTTTTGTTATAAACAGAATTACACAACTAAGTATTAATCATAAAAGAAATATATTATGGTATATCTAGGAACATATCATGGAATATTCTATCCTAAATATATTTACAAATATCAACGCATAAAAATAATATAAGAAAAAACCTAAATTAGAATATCAAATGGATTCTATTGCTCTGAACTGAACTACCCTGATTTGAAGGAACGAAATAACCTCAAAGAACTTACCTGGAAAAGTTCAAAGGGTGAACTTCCATCCTTTGGAGCTCCCTGTCTCGCATCAACTTGAAGCATGACTTTTCTATTAAAAAATACAAATGAAGAAAACATGCAATATTAATATATCTAGAAGGTAAGGGAAATGGAAAACCCCCACTCTTTATAACCAAAGAAAAACAAACACATCAACCTTATAATTAAAAGTAAAAAGAATTTAAAGGAATAATTTTCAAAACATTTTTACTAAGAAAATATGTATATAGGTGATTTACAATTTTATAAGCTTATGCCAAGGGAAATAAATGCTAAATCCGCCCTGATCAATGCTATTATGTCCTAAAATAATGTTATTTACATTATTTTACAACAGAAAGCTATCATGAAACCACTTAGTTCACACACCATCTAATAATAAATCAATGGGCTGTATCCCGGAAGGAACTTCAATTGTCATCTCAAACCAAATCTTAAGGTGCTTAAGAATAAAAAATATCACTAGATCTAGATAGTTTTTGTGATTTGTGGAAGATCATTCTATATTTCATTAATACCTTTGATATTATATTAGAATATCTCTTGGAATTAGATTTTATATTACTTACTGTTAAAAATAAAATAGGATCATGTATGTTAAAATTTCTACGTTAAAATACCCCCAACAAAAAAATGGTTATCATTCTCGAGTCTTTCTATGTAAAAATACCCCCAACAAAAATGGTATTGCTGAGATAAAAAAATGAGCATTTGTTAAACAAAACACGTGCTATGATATTTCAAAATAAGGTTCCTAAGAAATATTAGAGCAATGTAGCTTTTACAGCATCATATCTCATCATTGTTTACCTTCTAATGTCCTTGCCTCCAAAACTCTTATGAAATTCTTATCTTCATTTTATCCTAAAGTGTCCATCTCTATTAATCTCACTCCTAGAATATTTGGGATTACGTCTTTTGTCTATATCAATAGTGTCTATATCAATAGTTATAATAGAGGAAAACCTGATCTTAGAACCTAAAAATGTGGGATATTCTTACAACCAAAAGAGTTACAAATGTTATAAATCCTGTCTTTCGTGACTTCACCTTCATGAACAAGAAAGTTGTTTCGTCCAAATTCATTTTCAGGGGGAGAATATAAGTTAGGAAGATGAGTCTCTTCTACTTCCTGACCTTACTCTGGACCAGAAGTTGAGGATGAAACTAGTGATGACAATGTTGAGACCAAACTTGATTTAGAAAAAGATGGAACTGTAAAAAGTGATATGTAAGATATGGGAAGAATTTAGTATACACAAGAAAGAAGACAACCCCTAAATCTACTCATATCAAGCTCTAGTGATTCAATTTTTGAATTTCCTCGTGAACATGAACCAGAGCCCGACTCATTACCCCTATTACACTACAAAGATTTACATCTTCCATTTGTCTTTAAAAAAGATACCTAAACATATACCAAAAAGTTGTTTTACTCTCTATCCTTTTACCTAAGTGTTAAATATTTTTCACTTACCCATAAAACTTTTCATAAAAGTCTAAACAGCATAACAATACCTAAGCTTTGGGTTATACTACTTTCTCCATTGTTTCTACTCTTAAATACCTAAGCTTTGATTCTAGATGAAGCATTATTCCACCCTGAGGGAAGGCAAGTAATGATTGACGAGATATGTACTCTACAAAGCAGTGATACCCTAGAACTAGTTTCATTATTCATTTGAAAGTTTTTAGTAGGTTGTCATGCTTTATCCGGTGAAGGTTAATCCTGATAGTAAGATTGATCATTTTAAAACTTCCTTGGTAGCAAAGGGGTATACTCAAAATTTTGGCCTCGATTAGAAGTATATTTTCTCACTTGTGGCTAAGATGACCTTTATTAGACTCCTCTGCTCTATTGTAACCATCCGAATCTTTTTACATGGTGATCATCAAGGGAAAGTGTATATAGGGCAACCACTAGGATTTGTTGCTCAAAAGGAATCCCCTATCATGGTTTGTCGACTTCACTTGTCCTTATATGGCCTTAATCAGTCTCCTTGAGGTTGGTTTGGCGGCGTTAAGACTCCCACATCAGATAAAATATGGCTTGAACATGTGCTTATAAATGAGAGAAACCCTCACCCTACAAGCAAGTTTTGTAGGATTCATTTCTTAACATAGTATCAAGAATCTAGTTTAAGATCCGTTGGCTCACCTGCTATCAGGTTTCCGCTTTAGGACCGCCCACTTTTATTTTCATGATCCAAATGTTCAGTCTTGGATGTGAAGAGGTGTGTTAAGACACCCACATCGAACAATATATGGCCTGAACATGTGCTCATATATGGGAACAATCCTTACCATATAAGTTGGTTTTGTAGGATGAGCTAGACCTAACCATATTTCTTAGCAAGTAGATTCAATCCAGTAGTGCGACAATATTGTATCATCATTTAAATCGAAGTCGATCATTAAGTGTTTTATCAACACTCATCCTAAAGGTGTATTTATCTGATTGTCTATGTAGATGATACTGTTATAAATGGTAGGGACGGTAAGGTATACTCCACATGAAACGACATCTCTCTCATCAATTTCAGACTCAAGACCATGGCAAACCCAGTTATTTCTTGGGTATTGGGGTAGACCAATCCAATGATGGCTTAGTAGTTTACAAAGAAAATATGCTATAAATATTCTCAAAATTTGGATTGGGCATAACTCATCCCTGTAAAACCGGCTTGTAGAGTGAGGATTGCCTCCACTTATAAACATAACACAAACCATATATCTAAACAATGTGGGACTAAATTCACCCCTTCAAAGCCAACACAATGAAGGTGTTAGGATCTGCAATGAGGCAAGTCAAAATGCCGCAATTAAGACGACTAGGGGTGGACCGCAATTAAGACGGAAAGTCCAACATATATTTTCGAAGAGAGAGGTTTATTGAATGCTAGGCTGATTGATACATCTATGAATCCAAATGCTAAATTTCTACTCAATGAGGGAGAGCAACTATCAAATTCAGAAGGATACAGAAGATTGGCCGGAAAATTAAACTACTTTAGAGTCACTCGTCAAAACATTTCATTTGCAGTGAGCCAAAATAAGTCAATTCTTATTTGATCCTTGCCAAGACAATTGGAATGTTGCGATATAGATCTTAAAATACATTAAAGGCGCTCAAGGAAAAGGTCCAATTTATAAGAACAAGGGACATATAAGAATTGACTTATGTTGACTAAACTTTTACACAATCAAGGAGAGCGGCTATCAAATTCAGAAGGATACATCAGATTGGTCGGAAAACTAAACTACTTCACAGCCACTTGTCAAAACATTTCATTTGCAATCGGTCAAGATAAGTCAATTCTTATAAGCTCCTAGTCAAGAACATTGGGATGTTACAATATAGATATTAAAATACATTAAAGGTGCTAAAGGAAAAGGTCCAATTTATAAGAACAAGGGACATGCTCAAATGGTTGGTTATTGGAGGAAACATGATATCTTGGAAGAGTTAGAAGAACAGTGTGGTTGCAAGATCCATTGTAGAGCTAAATACAGGGGCATGACATTAGTATCATTTTCTGAATTTATTTGGTTGAAACAATTACTCAAAGAACTTTAATTTGAAAAGGCAAAAAATCGAGTTACATCACCACTAACTTTGTAATGGAGATGATCAAATCAAGTTACATCTTCACTAACATTGTCAATTCCAATGATCAATTAGCAGACGTCTTCACCGAATTTTTGAGAGGTCTTCAATTCAGTTATTATATGTAACAAGCTTGAAGCAATTATATGTTCCGCTTGAGGAGTGTAAAAATTAACCTAGAATCATGTAAATAAGAATTGAATATCATGTAATTATTTCTGTCATTATTTTGCATTTATTATCTGAAGCCTCAGAGATTTTGTTGTGTAGTTAAAATACACGGTTTCATCATATGTCTCTCCTTTTCTATGCTACTCAACACTTTCTGTTCTTGATTTTTCTATTTATATAGGAATTAGTGTGTATCCTTTAAAGTAGGGATTAGGGTTTAGTCTTATGTATTAAGTCAATATCAAACATAACTTAATAGTTCATACCAAATTATTAACCTGGAAGCACCAGCAAGTTCAAGGATCAGGAAAAATCACATACTTTCCCCATTCGGCTGGAGGATTCCACGCTGACAAAATCGTATCAGATTTGGCATTGGGAAGACAGTTTTTGAAAACAAGATATTTGGTTGTAAACTGAGAAACACCCACATCCTTATAATCCCGATCGAACTCATAGATCTAAGTGTTAAGCAATGAAACTGAATTAGTATATTATTGCAATTTGATACAAAAAAGTAAATGAATTAAGAAAATTAGAAAACTATGACTATATGTTCAGGCATAGGAAGGAGAAGAAAGAGCAACTAAACCATAAAAATACACCTTTTAAAACATTCAGGAATAAGAAATTTCCAGATTCAATAGTTTGGAAATTGCTGAAGAACACTGAATGAGTTACAAATGGTTTTATATAATTGAGAAAATTTAAGTTTCTAAGTAAGAAAGTTTTAAAACCTGTCTAATATAATTGAAGCCAGGCTCAGAATTAAGAATATTTGCTGTTGAGATAGCAATTTATACTTTGTGCGAACAGCTTTATTAGTGGACAAAATAAGTTTTGGAAGGAAAAATGGTGAAAGGGTAGGAGGATTTAGGCTTGCTACATAGTGCTTACCATGTCATTGATTTCGGCTTCAGCAAAGGATTTACCATCAAGAAGCATGCTCCAAACAACTTTGTTAATTTGCAAAAATACGCGCATAGCATGGGAAGGGCTTTTGTTCTTCTCCTTCTCCATTAGCCGCGCCTGTGCTGCTTTTTGCATGGCCATTCTTAATGATGCATATGCTTCCTTCCTGGATTTTTGAGCACTTACAAGTTCTCTCTTCAATCCTTGGACCTGCCAGTGGGAACTACTTTGATTACAAATGAAAATTTGTCATACTCAATTTATATAAACATTACATTGTACTCAATTTACATCATATTCAAGAAGTTATATACATAATCTATAATTGTCTATATACATAATCTAAAATTGTCCTCTACATGATTTCATATTTTAAAATCGTTGAATAACCAACTCATTGTCAAAGTTCTTGAAGACATCTCTCTCAATAGAAACCCAAACAACCGTTCATTCATTCATCTCCCATTTGATTACACAATCTAATCTTTATAGTAAAAAAGGACCGTTCAATAGTTACTCTGGCGATAGAGAACTGTCAGATGTTTTCTCAATCTTTCAAACCTTATGTTCATAAATATGCATGGTTCATGAATTAAAATATTTTCAAAGTGATAAATGCTTGTGAATCTATGTATTCTCCTTTTGAGGATCATTTTGAGGTTGCTTACGGAATCCTAAGGTATCTGAAAACTCATTCAGGAAAGAGATTATTTTTTAAGAAGAATAATGAAAGTAATGTATCTATCTATATTCACGGATAGGCATGGCAATGGGACGGAGACGGGTTTTGCCTTCCCCGTACCCAAACCCGAATCCCAATTAAATACATGTTTCCCACCCTAAACCCAAATGTGGGATAAATAATTAAATCCGAAACCCGTCCCAAACAGGTTCGGGTATCCCCGCCTTATGTCATCCTCGCATCGAAATCATTTTTTTAAATCGAAATAGTCAATTTCTCCCAAATCAAACAATTGTCGTAAATTCTAACAAACATTAGAAATAATAAACTAAAACAATCGTGAAAATTTTCTAACATACATTTTAAATATTTCAAATAATAAAGTATAAACCAAAATATCAATATACTAATCAAGCAATTAATATTATAAATTATCAAAATAAAATATTCCAAATTATCAACGAGGCGGGTTCAGGGACCGGTTCAGGATGGATACTAGTGTCTCCATTACCCGCCTCGTACCCATCTTTTAAAATCGGAGAAAATCCAAACCCAAACCCGAATCCAATCAAAGAGGCTTTTTCCCGTCAAACTCATGGTGGTTTCGGAAATGTACATGTTTTGACTTTTGATGCCATGTTTATTCATGGATGCTAATTAGGCTGGAAATAATAGAATGAAGATCTACATCTGGATATTGTACCTATATTTTGGGTAATCGTATAACTTGGAGAAGTAAGAAATAAAGATTGGTAGCAAGAAGTAGTACAGAGACCGTTAGAGCTATGGCTCAAGGTATTTGTGAAGGACTGTGAATCCACAGGGTTTTAGAAAAAATGAAAGTAAAGAATGAACTTCTGTTGAAATTATACACTGACAGTAAGCCAGTCATCAACATAACTAATAATCCAGTTCAACATGACAGGACCAAACACATTGAGATAAACCCTCACTTTATAAAAAAGAACAGTCTCATATGCTATCATTTGTAACTTCAAGTCAACAAACAGCAGACATCATCACCAAAAGTTTGCCTAGACCCACATTTGATCATTTTGTAAGCAAAGCAAGTTGGGCATGATAAATATCTACGCACCAATTTGACGGGAGTGTTGGAGAAACAATATAATTTTCTTATTTATTTACTTTCTATATTCTTTTTTATTATAATAATATTCTCCTAAAATAATTTTTTTCTATATGAAATTATAATCTATAAATCGCTATTGATGAGAATAAAATATAACAGTATTTCTTATTTACTAATAAATTGAAATACAATAAATAAGAATATTTTATTGAAAAAAGAATAAATATTATTTTGGTATTTTAAATTGACATAATATGAGAAAAATATTGCAAAATGAACCCTTATAATAATATAGAGGGAGTATAACTGATTTCTTAGTATCCTTTGGAATTAATGATAGGATTACATTTCTATTTAAATTATACCTCATGCATATAAGCTGTATGAACTATTTCATCAATGATGAGAAATATTCACATTCAAGTGATACAAAAAATTTAAGAACCACAGTCATGCCAGTATGGCCAAGTAAAGTACTAGCCTGATTAAATTTTGGTAGATAGAATCACCTAAATTCAAAGAACAAGCAGCAATATCCAGTTACATCATTTAAAGGATAGTTAACAAGAATCATTCCTTACCAGCATGGCTATTCCACCATCTATCATCCACAAGTCCCGTTCCTTTTCTGGATGTGGATCTTTGGAAGGATCACACAAAAAAGACAACTTTTTCATATCTTCAAGAAGCAACTTTTGTTCCCTTTCTTTCTTTTCGAGGTTGATTTTTTCAAGTTCCACCTCCTCAATACCATCAGGAACCACCTCATCTGCTTCCTCTTCGACATTTTCATCATCTTCATTTGAAAGTGTCAGGCTACTTTTTGGAGGCCTAAGTTGTGAATGATATATACTTGGTCAATTTGAAGAAATCTTCATATAGAACAGAAAGTCCTAGATTTAAGTTTCTTTAAGAGAAAAAAAGCGACCGACTGCATAAGGTAGCCAATACTCATAATTTATCTACCTGGACTATCTAAATTAAGGCCATAGTCATGAACAGAAATATATCTGACAAAGATAAATTTAAATAGAAAACTGTTGCAGTGTTAACAAGCATCTACCAATGCATCAAGAAGGCATACGCAATAAAAATTAGTTTAGATGTTTATAATTGTTGAGAGGACCACAATAGATCTGATAGTCTAGAAAAGTGTTTACAGTTGGTGGGCATCCTCACATTACAAGCTAGATCTATCTAGTGGAGTTCGCAATCCAAATTCTAAGACTGAAACAGAGTCTATCTATCCAAGATTCATTGGGCACTCGTTATCAGGCCACTTGAATCACACTATAGATATTCAGTTATTAGCATGAGAGAAGTGTGTTGAAAGTCTCACATTAGATGTGAAATAATTTTTAAAAAGTGTTTATAAGAAGTGGACATCCATTACCATACAATCCAATTGTAGAATTGAGTTAAATTCAGCCCAAATTCTAATAACAACAAATAACAGTTACTGCTGACTACATGCATTGATTATGCCAAATAACCAGCTTGATCCATCCGTATATAACCCCTAATAAAGTGGACTCTATTCCTTGTGAACAAATCATAGTGATCTTGACTATAATCTTTTGTCACAGAATGAGTAAACTTACATAGTCTAGTTAAATTTGATACAGTACTAAATGGTGAAAACATACATGCGTGTTTGCTAAAGGAAAACTGATAATAGTAGATTTATAATGTGCACAAAGCAAGAGATCCATACTTTGGAAGCCGTGCAAATAGAAGATTGTTTAACACGTCCAACATGACTTGAAACTGACGAGATGTCATTGCTGCTGTAATATTATGAGAATTGAACTTGAGCTCCTTCAAGGGCTTCACCTGAAGATGTAACCTTTGGATTTGAATCAGACTATTGACTACCATAGTATTGAAAAAGGACATATAAATCATATATACATACTCTTTAAAGATATGCATTCCTGAAAATACATGTCTTAAGAGTCCTACATTGAATGAAATGTGGAATGAAAATATGTTTGTAAGTAGAGGCGATCCTCACTTTATAAGCCGATTTTGTAGGGTTGAGTTATGTTCAACCCAAATTCTAATATGATATCAGAGCCTATTAATATTATAAAATCTCTTAGTATCTTTTATATTAGTTTAGAGTATCTCTGAGTATGCCTTAGTATCTGATTTTATATTAGTTAATATAATTATTATGATTTTATATTAACTATTACTGTTATTGGGAAAAAAACAAAAAAAAAAGAACTTACCTTCACTTCTGGAGTGCCCCCTTTGTGCCTTGTGTACTGAAAGTACATGTCACAAGGCATAAAAACTCTCTCAAGAAGTGCACCTGTACGCGTTACTTTTGGAGAGCCTTTAATAATTTTTGGTAGCCACTGCACCCCAGCCCCTAGATCAACATCCGTTGGGGCTACATGCGCTTGAACATGCTCCAACATAACAGACAACTCCATTCTTTTCCATGCAATTTCAGGCTGGTATTCACTAATATTTTCTTCTGTCGTACCACGTGCTCGCTCAATCATGTCATGGCCAACATGAACAACTGAATGAAACGACTGGGCTAAAACACGTCCACTTAGAGCAGCAAGCAAAAACCTACCCTGTAAATGTATGTATACATGCATAATTGAAATATTGTTTATAAATTTCTTATCTGATCAGATTGTTCAATAGTGAATATTATAATGACAATGAACTTCAAAGCATATTTTTCAGAGTGAATGTTATTGTTGAGATATGATATTGTATTATTATTAGTATTTATTGTTTTATTGTTTTTATTCTAGTATTATCTTTCCCTAGTGGGATTGGTTAGTATATCTTTTCCTTAATTAGTGGGATTAGTTAGAAGGCTTACACTCTCTTCATAATGGAATAAAAAATCAATATTCAAGTGGATATCCAGAGTATGGTTTAAAACCTTAATTTTTCTGTTTTGTTCAAGAGTCTATTTTATTCAAATCTGCCACCGCTTGAAACAGTGTCACGCAACCTTCTACAGTGGCCGGAGTCACCAATCTACCACCTGTCAAAACTGCGCCCACAACTGACCAGCCACGCACCGCCATCAGCATCACCCACACGCCCCAACTCTCACCACGCATCGGCATGTGAAGGCCACACGCTGCCTTCTAGCTGTACAATTCTGACAGCAATTGTTGTTACAGGGTCGGTTTTTCAATCTGATTCCGTTGTTATTTGGTGTTGTTGAGAATTTGTGACCCTGCTGAAGCATCATGACTGAAATTCCCAGCCAAAGGAGGTTGTTGTTGAGAATCCTCCTAAAAGAGTCTAATTTCGTTAGCGTTTCAAGGAACACCCGTTATTACCACTGAAAAATTGAATGGTAATAAGAATTACTTGAATTGGTATGCTTCGGTTGAGTTGTGGTTTTTGGGTCAACGCCTGTCAGACCATCTGACTAAAAAGGTTTCAGAAATTGATGCAGCAATAAAAGATGATTGAGAATCTACTAATTATCAAACTGTATCATTGTTAGGCAAAGCTGATGGCACCCTTTCGTCCATATAGGACATGTTATGAGGTTTGGCAGAAGGCTAAAAACCTTTATGCTAACGAAATTCAAAGATTGCATGCATAGGTCCGCAACTTGGTCACTCTTCAGATGAATGATTAAGATTTATCAGAATATTTGACTTGTGCTCGGTGCACTATTGATGGCCTCAAACTTATGCTGGTTAGTGATGATATTACGAAGGTACTTGGCAAGCTTGACAATATTTTCATGGTGTTTGTTCTTTATGGTCTCCCTAAAGAATATAGTTCGGTTAAAGACCAGACGTTAACAAATACTACTATCCCTACAGTAAAAGAGCTAATAATCGCCTTGTCTGGGTATTCTTACCAAGTGATAACACTCATACTGCTCCTGAGTCCTCTGCTTTTGTTTCTAACTTTGGTAGTGGAGGACATAGTGGACGTGGTCGTGATCAAGGACATGGTAGAGGGGGTAGAGATAATTTCTATTGTACTCAATGTATGTGTTTCAACTTACATGGCTTCCCTAACAAAACTGCTAATGTTGCTCAAACCTCTACAAACCTTAAGTCAAAGGGTGAACTCGAAACTACTTTTTCTGCCGATGAGTATAAGGAGTGTTAAGAGTCCCACATCGGACAATATATGGCATGAACATGTGTTTATAAGTGGGGGTAATCCTCACTCTACCAACCGGTTTTGTAGGGTTGAGTTAGACCCAGCCACATTTCTAAACATGGTATCAAGAGCCTCGTTTAAGATCCGGTGGGCCACCTTCTATGGTTTCCGCTATCGGGCCACCCACCATTTATTTCCACGCTTCAGTTGTCCAGTCCTGAGCGTGAGGGGGTGTGTTAAGAGTCCCACATCGGACAATATATGGCATGAACATGTGTTTATAAGTGGGGGTAATCTTCACTCTACCAACCGGTTTTGTAGGGTTGAGTTAGGCCCAACCACACTTCTTAACAAGGGGTACTTGAAGTTGAAGGCAGCACAACATGCCACCTCCTCAGCTATCAATGGCCTCTATTTCAATTGGATATCAAGAATGCATTCTTGCATGGTGACTTGGAAGAGGAGATTTACATAGAGCAACTTCCAGAATTTGTTGCTCAGGGGGAGTGTAATTACGTATGTAAATTGCACAAGTCTTTGTGTGGGTTACGTGTAACTCATCCCTACAAAACCGGTTTATAAGGTGAGGATTGCCCCCACTTATAAACACAACACAGGTCATATCTCTAAGCAATATGGGACTAAATTCACCCCTTCAAATCCAACACTATGAAAGTGTTGGGGGTTGCACTGAAGGCAAGTCAAATGCCGCAATTAAGGTGACTATGGAGGATCACAATTAAGGCGAAAATTCCAACACACACCCTCACGCTTGAGTCTCAATGAGCCCGAAGCATGGATGATGCAGATGTTGATTGGGCAGAAGATGCAAGTGATAGACGTTCTACATCGGGTTATTATGTTTTTATTGGTGGAAATTTTATCTCATGGAAGAGCAAGAAGCTAACCTTTGTTGCTCGATCAAGTACAGAAGCTGAGTATCGAGTCATGCCCCATGCCACATGTGAGCTCTTGTGGTTAAAGCATTTATTTCAGAAACTTCATTTTTGTGAAGTCGGCCCAATGGAACTTGTATGTGATAACGAGCCAGCTTGGCACCTCTCCTCCAGTACAGTGTTTCATAAGAGGACCAAGCATATAGAAGTCGATTCTCACTTTCTTAGAGAGAATATTACTAGTGGGACAATCCAAACCTCCTTTGTTAATTTCAAGGATCAACTTGCTGATCTCTTTACAAAATCTCTTTGGAGACCTCAAATTACTTACATATGTGACAAAATGGATGCTTATGATGTATATACACCACCTTGAGGAGAAATGTTAAAATATAATATTGTTTTATTATTTGTATTTATTTTTTATTGTTTTTATTCTTAGTATTATCTTTCTCCTAATTAATGGGATTGATTGATATATATTTTCCTTAATGAGTGGGATTAGTTAGGGAACTTTTATATATATATATATATATATATATATATATATATATATATATATATATATATATATATATATATATATATATATATATATATATATATATATATTACAGAATAGGCTAGAATAGTCTAAAATGCCACATCAGCATAACTAACTTACAGTTAGTTATGTTGTTGTGTAGGTTAAGCTAGCTAGTGCACAAGTTTAGAATGAATATATAATCTTGTATCACTGTAAACTATTCAAGCATAATAACATAATTCAGTTTCAGTTAGATCTATCTTCTCTCTCTTCTTCTTTCATTCTTTCACTTTAATATGGTATTATAGAGCTTCGGTTCTAATCCATGACTTCTTCCTCTTCTCCGGTGTCGACCTCGACAATTACTCAGGCAGCCGTAGCTCCGACAGCGTCAATGTCGTTTCAGCTCAAAATTACTGAAAAGCTTGATGAAAATAATTTTTTACTGTGGCGTCAGCAAGTTGATCCGTTCGTCAGTGCGAACAACCTGCAGAATTACCTCTATCTTCGTGATATACCTGCGCAATTTCTCACTGAAGAAGATCGCACTGCTAATCGTGAGAATCCTTCCTATCGCGCTTGGATTACGCAAGATCAGTGGTTGTTGACGTGGCTTCATTTCACGTTATCATCTTCGATTCTTTCTCGCGTTCTTGGATGCGTTCATTCGTATGAACTTTGGGAACGAATTCTTGCACATTTTCATAAATTGACACGTGCGAAAGCGAGGCAGTTGAGAGCGGAACTCGGGTTTACAATGTTAGAAGACAAATCTGTTAAAGAGTATCTAGTTCGTATCAAAGCCTTAGTTGATGCACTCGCCTCAGTTGGAGATCCAGTTCCTGATCAACAACACATTGATGTTATACTTGAAGGTCTTCCTCCAGATTTTGCTTCTGTTGTTTATGTAATTGAGAGTAAATTTGACTCTGTGCAACTTGAAGAAGTTGAGGCTCTTCTTCTAGCACATGAAATCAGGTCCAACAAGCATAAGAAACACACACAAATGGAGGTAGCTGCTTCAGTGAATCTCACTCAACTAATTCTCAAACTGAAATAGAGGTATCTAATGCTAAGACTATTGAACAAGGAGTTAATTCCACCTTTTCATCTAGAGGAGGTCGTGTTGGTGGCCGTGGTGGCAGACACGGCCGTGGCAGAAGCAGGTGCAGTAACATTCAGTGTCAGGTTTGCTTCAAGTTTGGACATCTGGCTGTTCAATGTTATCACAGGTTCAATCAGCAGTTTCAACCTGTTATACCTGCATATTTTCAAACTATGAATCTGCAAAACTTCTACAATCCTTACCAACCTATTGGTGGACCGCAGTTTGCACAGCAAATACCTAACACTTGGACTCGTCCAAATTATCAAACTCGGCCTGCTTTATTGCCCACTCCACAACCACAAGTAGTTCCTAATGCTATGCTTACCAACATTGGTGCAGCTTCAAGCAGTGCTTGGTTCCCAGACTCAGGAGCTTCTTTCCATGTCACTAATGCTTCTCAAAACATACAACAATCCACACCATTTGAAGGTCCTAATCAGATCTTCATTGGTAATGGTCAAGGTTTGCGTATTCATTCCTCAGGCTCATCCTATTTTCCATCTCAATTTAACCCTAACACCTCTTTAGCTCTTCATAATTTACTGCATGTTCCTTCCATCACAAAGAATCTCATAAGTGTTAGTAAGTTTTGTCTTAATAATTGTGTATTTTTTGAGTTTCATTCTGATATCTGTCATGTCAAATCCCAGGCCTCCAATGAAATTCTGCTCCAAGGTCGTGTAGGCAGAGATGGCCTATATGAATTTCCTCATCTTCAGCTTATTCAGCCGCCTAAAACAAGTCAAGTCTCATTTTTGGCCTTAGTCTCGAGTGATCCTGCTTCCAGCTCAAATTTTAGTACTACTCCTAGAATTTCTAATTCCAATCAAAATGTATCTGAAAATAACTCATGTAATTCTCATTTTACTTGGAATTTATGCCTTGGTCATCCCAATCCCCATATTATGAAACTTGTTCTAGCACAATGTAATATTCTCTATTCTAATAAAGTTAATTCCCTGTTTTGTTCAGCCTGCCGTATGGGCAAAGCTCATAGACTGCATTCCCCTCAGTCACAAACTCAATATGTCTCACCACTTGAACTATCAGTGATCTTTGGGGTCCAGCTCCAGTCAAATCCTCACAAAATTTTCACTACTATATCACATTTGTTGATGCATACACAAGATTTACCTGGATTTATAGGCTGAACTAAATCTAAGGCATTAAACATTTTTAAACAATTCAAGGTCATGGCTGAACTGCAATTTGGCTATCCTATCAAAGCTGTTCAAACAGACTGGGGTGGTAATTTCGCCCATTTACAAAATTTCTTTCTGATCTTGGAATCATTCATCGTCTCATCTGTCCTCATACTCATCATCAAAATGGTGTGGTAGAGAGAAAACATAGGCATATAGTTGATCTAGGTCTTACTCTTCTTAGCCATGCCTCTCTTCCTCTCAAATTTTGGCATCATGCTTTCTTAACTGCTGTCTATCTCATCAATCGTTTACCAACAGTGTCTCTTAATAATAAAATTCCTTATTCTGTCTTGTTCAATCAGAATCTTGATTATAGATTTCTTAGAGTCTTTGGTTGTGCATGCTTTCCTCTTCTTCGTCTCTACAACCATCACAAATTTGATTTTAGATCACATGAGTGTCTCTTTTTAGGGTACTCTACAGCTCACAAAGGTTATAAGTGTCTCTCCTCAAGTGGCATAATCTTCATTTCCAAAGATGAGCTATTTAATGAGACTAAGTTTCCCTATCATAATCTGTTTCCAAAGCCAGCCTCTCTTCCCTCTACCTCTGTCCCATCTTCCTCCTCCTCCACCATCACATTACATACTCCAGTTCTCCCTCCTACTGTTTCTCCTCCTACTAAGGTTTCTATGTCTTCTAACTCTGGGCATGCTACTGCAAAACCTGTGTCCTCCATCTCTGCACCTTCTTTATCTAGTAATTTTGTCTCCTCTTCATCTGCTCCTTCTATGGCTAATGCTCAACCCAATTCACCTGCTTCACTATCCTCTTCTTCTATCACTATTCCTAGGGATCCTGCCCTTCAACCTCTTCCAATTAATTTTCATCCCATGACTACCAGAACCAAGTCTGGTGTTCTTTTAACTAGACTTCATCCCTCAAAATATCTTGTTCACTCTGAGCCTAGGAGTGTTAAACAAGCCCTTCAAGATCCTAAGTGGTTTGCTGTTATGCAAGAGGAGTACAGTGCCTTGGAAAGAAACAAAACCTGGTCATTAGTTCCTCTACCTTCAAACAGGAAAGCTATAGGGTGTAAGTGGATCTTTCGAGTTAAGGAAAATGCTGATGGATCAGTCAATAAATACAAGGCCAGACTTGTTTCTAAAGCGTTTCATCAAGTTCATGGTTTTGGTTTTAATGAAACCTTCTCTCCTGTCATTAAGCCTGTTACTATTAGACTGATTCTTACTTTAGCTCTCACTCATAATTGGCCTTTGCAGCAGTTGGATGTTAATAATGTTTTTCTGAATGGCCTGCTTGAAGAGGAAGTTTATATGGTGCAGCCTCCTGGTTTCACATCTTCTAATTCTTCCTTGGTTTTTCGTTTACATAAGGCCTTGTATGGCCTCAAACAAGCCCCCAAGACAATGGTTTGAGAGACTTAAAACCACACTTTTGGCTTTTGATTTTGTCAACAGCAAGTGTGATACTTCTCTATTTATCTACAAACATCACAGTGCCGTTGTCTATATGTTGGTGTATGTTGATGATATCATCATCACAGGCAGCTCAGTAGCACTCATTTAACAAATCACCCTCAAGCTCAATCAGGTTTTTGCTCTTAAACAACTTGGGGACTTGGACTATTTTCTTGGTCTTGAGGTAAAGAAGTTGTCCAATGGGAAGTTGTCCAATGGCAACTTGCTGCTTACTCAATCCAAATATCTGAGGGACCTTTTTGCCAAAACCGACATGTCTGAAACCAATTTTGTAGCTACCTCTATGGCTTCCACTACCAAACTTATCAAAACTGGTTCTGTTGGGTTCTCTGATCCTTCTCTTTATAGGTCTATTGTGAGGGCTTTGCAGTATGCTACTATCACCCGTCCTGAGATTTGTTATGCAGTCAATAAAATGTGTCAATTTATGGCACATCCTTTGGAATCTCACTGGCTGGCTGTCAAACGCATCCTGCGTTATTTGAAGGGTACTCTCACCTCTGGGTTGCTGTTCACCCCTGCCTTGCCTGCACAGCCTTTCTCTCTTCAAGCATTTTGTGATGCAGATTGGGCTACTGACCCTGATGATAGAAGGTCCACTTCTGGGTCAGCTATATTCTTGGGGCCTAATTTGATTTTCTGGTGGTCAAAGAAACAGACTGTTGTGGCTCGCTCTAGTGCAGAAGCTGAATATCGAAGCTTGGTTCAAACAACTGCTGAGGTTCTATGGGTCCAAATGCTGCTTGGAGAACTGAATGTTCCTTTCACCACTCCTACTATTTTCTGTGACAATCAAAGTACTGTTGCTATGACACATAGTCCAGTTCTCGATGCTCGAACCAAGCACGTAGAAATAGATCTATTTTTTGTGAGGGAAAAGGTCCTCAACAAAACTCTAGCCGTGTGTCATATTCCTGGTGTTGATCAGAAAGTTGATATTCTCACTAAACCTCTCTCAAGTGCAAGATTTCTGGAGCTCAGAGGCAAGCTCAACCTGACTGCTTCCTGTGTTCCTTCACAGCCACCTTGAGCTTGTGGGGGAGTATCAGAGAATAGGCTAGAATAGTCAAGAATGCCACATCAGCATAACTAACTTACAGTTAGTTATGTTGTGGTGTAGGTTAAGCTAGCTAGTGCACAGGTTTAGAATGAACATATAACCTTGTAATATTGTAAATTGTTCAAGCATAATGACAGAATTCAGTTTCAGTTAGATCTATCTTCTCTCTCTTGCTCTCTCTCTTCTTCTTTCATTCTTTCACTCTAATAATATATATTAGAGGAAACACAAGACCAGACCCAATGGTTAGTTAAAAATAGAAAGATGAAATTCCTAACTAACAGAAAGTAGAATCTATAGAGCAAACAAAATAGAGAAGCCAAAGTTGTGGATGGAAGCAAGCTCTAATCGTGAAATTCTCAGAAAACCACTATCTAATTGTACTTCAAAGAAATAAAACTTCCAAAGCACTCTTCTAAATTTTATTCTACCAAATGTGAATATTGCCCAAGTCATTTAATGGGTAAATTACCATAACTAAACAAGATCCAGCATCAAAGAGAATTGATTGTCTAGGTTTAAGTTTCCGCCTTAAAGGCAAGCACTATAATTAAAACACAAGTGTTACTTAGTATTGCAAGCTCTACCAAAAATGAAAAGAAAAATTACTTTTTAAGCTTACATTTGCACCCTCTGAGTGAAGATTAAATTGTGGTTCAATAACATTAACCATGAATTGTCGAGTCCCCTCCATCGAATCGTCTGTATTTTCATATTTGGCTGGCAAATAAACAAAAAAGATAAAAGAGGTTGAACAAACATATCCTTAAAAGTACTAAACAATAAATTTAGCGTAACAAAAAAAGGAAAGATGTGAAAGTATGTTATGACAAAAAGCATGTTTACACTGTTTTATTTTTGTGTATATTACTAATCTATTCTGCATATCCAAATCAATAAAAGTCTACAAGATATCTTGAACCATATGACATACCTGATGGTAAGCTGTCCATCTTAAATGAACTGGATGGGAATGAAGGGAATTCAGTAGTCTTGGCAGCCAGAGAAGAAGGCGAATCTAAGATGTTACCGGTGGGAAGGGACTTACTAGCTTCATCTTGATGGGTTTCAACTCCTTCATCTTTATGGGTTTCAACTCCTTCATCTTTATGGGTTTCAGGTCCATCATCTCTTTGCATTTCAGTTTCGTCATCTTGATGGGTTTCACACGCATCGTCTTGACGAGTTTCACTTCCATCTTGCTGGTTGTTGTTCTCGTGTAATTTTCTCTGTGCATACTGCCGGGAAGGAGAAGGCTTGGCAGGTGCAACAGCTTTGGCTAGACCGCCAGCCCAAAAACAAATTGCATTTCTGTTTTCAATATTCCACAAAAGCTTTAGACCATAGACAAACACGCGCTGACAACTGTCAGCTATTACCACATTATACCCATCATCCTCTATCACCACATTGTACTCATCATCATCGCTTGGGTCTGATTGCATATGCTCATCTGTTTCGCTCTGTTTTTCACAGCTAGACTGTACATAGGTCTTCTCAGCATTTCTTCTTCCGGCTTCTTGCCAGGCTAATAATGTAGCAGGATCAGCCTTTGGAGACTGTTTTCGTATGGTAAAGTAATCACAAGATAACAGAAATCCATCATCGTGATTTTTCTGTGCCAGATAACCCTTTTTAGAGGGAGTTTTTTCCTCGGATGTAGATTGTGTACTTTTTGGTATCACATTAACTGATTTAGCCACAGTTCCGCACTCTTCTTTATTTAGGAAACACTTGGGCCTATGAAGGTCAATACTTTGGAAAACAAGATCAAGAAGTTCGCGTTTGCATTCAAAAGTATAATGTTCCTGTCCCCGACTAAAATATAATTCAAGCTTGAACTTTTTCATCATGAAGGTCAGTCCTTTAGCTGGATCGTCATCATGTAATGGCATGTTCTTTATGCAGATTGGAGTGGAATCTATACGCATCATAAATTCAGTCATCACTTTATCAAGTGCAAGATTACCTGATCTGACAATTCTAGGAACTCCAAAACGGGGCCATCGTGAGAACATGCGCAGTTTATGTGGAGGAAGGTAGTTCAAGTTCGAGAATCTTACAATCCATGCTAGATCATGAGCACCGAGTTGTATTGTTGGGGAAGCAGGTGAAAAATTCTGACAAATGTTAGGAGGATGAGATACATTAGCATTTGCTTCTGTACTATTTATTGCTATGGAGGATGGATGTTTCTTTTCTGACAAAGGAAGAGCAGATCCAAAAGATAGGGTCCATCGAATGGAAAGAGCAGTGGATCTGAAGGGATCAAATATTATTTCGCGAGCCTTTCCTTCAATAGGAAGTGCAAATAAATAATGATTCAAGGGTTTTCCAGAGTCACAACCCCAGTCCATTGTAACTTCAGTTGTAAGGACTGGGGCTTCCAAAAATGGACTATTGACAACAGCTGGAATTTTAGATCCACGTTTGTTTGCCAGACTTTCCAAACTACTCAAAAAAATCTTGAAATCTTTGGAAGAAACAAGAATACGACCATCTGACTGGTGAATTTCCAAAGAGCTAGTCACAATTTGAAGTTTATCAAGCTTTTCATAAGGATCTGCAGATGCCAAAATATACCATCTAGTTTCAGAAAATAATAAGGAAGTTTTTCCATGAATATAATTTCTCATGTCATCCCACCATGGCAAACTCTTCTCCTTTTTTGGTGGCAATATAAGTGGGCCAGGATTCCTAATACTTAGATTAGCCCTCCGTAGCACCACAGTGAAAGCATAACTAAGATCAGCAAAAACTGGTTCATAACCCACCCCAAATGACACTTCGCCTCTTTGAAAATGTAATGGTAAATCTAAGTATGTCTTCATGGGTGGAGTTGTACCACTAGCTGATCGAAGCAACCACACCTTTCTCCACCGCCCAACATAGACATCTTGAAGTACTTGAGGTTGAAAGCTAGTTGCCTAGTTGAAATAAATAGAAGAATAATGACCAAGAAATATTATCAGGTTGATGATCATGCAGTTAATCAATCCCCTATATGAGGTCAAACAAACAAATGTGAAGTTCAGTTTGAGTAACAGCGGCTTACCAATTTTAACTGAAGAATTAGTAAATAAATATATAAATTCAGGTGGGAGTTTACATTACATATTAACTTACTGGGTCCCTTAAAGATCATGCTTTTGTGTTAATGGAACCTTCTTAACATAAGGATAAGCAGAAAATTCAAGGTAAGTCCAAATGGGATAGGCTGTTAAGTTGAGAAAATTAGAGTAACTAGTGGTTTTCTAACAGCATTTGCAGAGATATGGTATAAAGAGAGAGTAAATCATTCTAGACTGTTGAGAGATTAGTCTAGGAGGGAAAGATCTCGGGCCCTTAAAATCCCAAGAGGAATAGCAACAGTTTGTATTCATCCCTAACCTGGTTTCATGATTGATCTGGGGCCAAGGGGTAAAATCATATCTTTTCTAATTTTGCTTATCAAAAAATGAAAATATTTTTGCAAAGTTTCTTCTTCTAATATCTAAACAAGTATCTATCAGTAAGCAATCAAAATAAACTAGTGCGGACATATAGAAAGGTGAAAGAAATTATAATTTTCTAAATTACCTGCTGAGCCAACACAAGAGAACCTTTACATTTGCCAGAATTTCCAGAAAAAAGAGGAAATGTGTAATCTCGAATCTGAGCCGCAAGAGAACCCGCATTCAAGAGAATATTTGCCCCATACAGTCGGGAAAATGGTATATCACATTCAAGACAAACAGGGTCAAGTTTCCTCACACACTCAATCATCCCATCATCTCCTCCATCAATTTTTGTCAAGCTTACATCTAAGTCTAACACAGTTATCGTAAAAAGTGAAGACCTTGAAGCACTAGGTTTGAAACCAGCTTGAAAGCCATCCCTACATGCACCTGAGCCTTCAGATAACACTAACTTCTGGCATGCCTCATAATATGATCGAAATGATCGTTTATAAATGTCTTCTCGCATAGACTCAATAATTGAAGAATCATTTACATCAACTTCAACATCATTAAAATAAATTTTTCCCTCTTCAGAAGAATTATTCAAGTCATCAGAAGATTTTCGATCTTGCTTGGCCTTCGATATAAATTCATCTAGAAAGTTTAACCTGACAACTAACTCACCAGCTTCCTTCTTCAACATCTGGTAGTGTTCATCAAGCCATCCCTGAATTGGTTCCTCTTCAATGTCAGCAGTTAACTTGCGTAAGAAAAATTTTATGCATCCAAATTTTGTTGAACTGGGCTTTTTTACTTTAGAATTATCTTTTTTCACAGGAAAAATCAAATTAGTCTTTGCTGCCACAATAAGCTTTAAAGCTCGTAACATGTCTTCAAGAGCATCATCAATAGCACGCAATTCCAATCTGAATGGCAAACAAATTTGAACATCAAGTCCTTGAATTACATAGTCCCATGTTGTGGTTACGGGTCCCTTTGCATCAGATGCACTAGCAGATATACTAGGAATTCGTGAAATTTGCATTCGACTACTCTTCAAGATTCTGGCCTGATTAAAATTAATCATTAATTCTTCAAAGAGCACTCCTATACTAGCATTCTCAGAGAAAATTGACTGCACCTGAACCATAGCATCCACTCCATCTCCTAGCTCAGCAGATATTTTCAACATTTCCACATCAACAGCAAAAATAGAACCTTTCTTCTTTTCAAGATTCTTTGATTCCATGGTAGCTTCATTTTTGCAATTTGCATCTTTTACATTAGATGAGTCCCCCATGCATTCATTACCATATTCCTCAAGCTTCTTATTGTGTACAACTAGTTTCAGCTGGAGAACAAGTTCAATTAGTGATAGATGAACATCAGGCTCCCACCTTATTGTAATGCTAGTAGCACTGAAAAGAGAACAAGCTGCTTTTTCTTTGAGGCCACCTAAGCGTTTTACGAATTTAGTATTTTGCATATCAAATAATGCCACCTTTGTCATCGGCCTACTTTCCTCCACATATTCCTGATAGATAGATCTGGCCCTTTCAAGTTCTATCTGTGTGGATTGTTTCACCTTATTTATACATAACTTGGTTTGAACAACTTCAAGAGAGATACAGTACTTTAGTTTTTGGTAGTTATCAGAAACAGTGGACACTATCTTAGCACTGCGAGGGGTACCATCTTCCGACACATCTATTATAACTCTTCCACCCTGTGAACCGTAATTAACTCGCTTGGGATCTAGAACGTCTGTATTTTCCAATCCAGTCTCCCCCAATACATATACTGAACACTGTACAAGATTGCACTTCAATATTTGAGTTCCCTTACCCGAAGATTTTGATGAGCGCCCTCGACTTTGAGTTGATTTTTTCTTTGAAGATAGACTTTTCATTAAAGCTTGAAAGGATATTGCTGTTGATATTAATGTTTCTAAACGCTTGATAGTTAGATAAATTCCCATGTTAGTAACCTCAACTGATAAACCTAGCATAGACATTGGACCATGTTCTTCAGAGGATTTCATGTCCTTTTTGCCCCAGTCCAAACTAACCTTTGTAATCTGCATAATAGAGCCAGAATCTGATTCCACACCAAAAATGCTTTCTTTCAACCATTCTTTATTTTCATCAGCCAACTGGAGATTGAACTCACCAAGTTCAAAATGTACTGAAGTCCCCATATTTGAAATGTTGTTTGCAAATAGATGCGGCGATTGTAAGCAACCCTAGAGTTGGAAAGCAGTACATGGATGCTTTGCAGTAAATGCCTTTACTCAAATCATTTAAATTAACATTAAAAAGAATCATAAGAAGGATAACTTCATCCAAAACCATAGAAATAAGCGTCATCTGTTAGAGATGTAATGACTTCACAAAAAAAAATTGTGTCAAGCGAATGTACGAAACAAACCACCTGTTGGAGAGTTTTAGATAGCATATTTAAAACATGTCTACATATTTAATGTGTAAATAAAAATTACTAGTGTTGAATAAGAGAGAACATGAGATGAGACTGAGATGGTGAAACTATATTTCAACCACACCATGGAGTCGGTTTTACATAGACTCTAGGAAATGCATAAAATATAAGTATAGAAGATAGCATTCTTTTTACATGAAATGATATGATATGCCTATACAATAAATACAAAGATCCTATTATTTTTTAACAACTAAAAATTAGGGATTTGATTGATTCTTATATGTATTAATGATTGATCCTACTGTACCATAATACTTTATTATAAATAAGACTGAAGTTTGGACATTAGTTCAAATATACTTTTCTTACATGGTATCGGTCATTTGGGTTTTGTATTTAACCTCTTTCACTCTATTCCTTTTATTCTTAATTGAACAGCACCTGTGGCAACTGTTTGCCTCATTTATATATTACATAGATATGTTAATTATAAATTCTGACGCTACTTTTATTATTTACCTTCCATTTCTAATCCACAAAATTCATTGTAAGGTGAAGATTGTCCAAGATTATAGACTATGTTTCTATGTGAGCCAAATCTCTAAAAATGAAAAAAACGAAGAAAAAAAATTGCTTCTAAAAGAGATCAAAATATTAAGCCGATTTATAAATGCAAACTGATTATAAACCGGTTTAAAGATACAAATTGGTTTTACACTGGTTTAAAACTAACCTGAAACCACTTTACGGTTAACAGTTTTTTTTTATTGAAGTGGTTATTGAAGACTGAACTGAACCATTAATGTGGTTTAATTCAGTGCAGTTCATGAACCACGAACACCCATAGTTGTAGTTTAGTTTAAGCTTTAGCTTGAGGATGGTGTTCGAATATTAGAAAATGTTTTTAGGATGAAGTTTTTTTGTATGATTCACAAAATCTCGATGCTCCCTGCTAATGCATCATAGGTTTAAAAGGAGATGTTAGATAATAGTCTATTAGACTTATCTCATTGGCTTTTTTATATTTCAAAATTAGTAGTCTAACTTTTTATGCTTTATTATATATTTTGTAACTGTTATTTTCATAACTATTATACATTCTATTGGAACTCTAACATCCCTTCTCGTACTCCCCTCCTTTATTTCTTTATTGCTAACAACACTCTAACATAAGTTATTATTAGATTCTCTCATATCACCTAACAAGTTCAAAAATATATGACATTTAAGGACAGAACTGTTTAATTTTAATTTTCAATTTAACTTTTAAATTTATATCAATCACAAACGGCACAATACTAAATATAACTAGAATCAAATTTACTTTGCAATGGCATAGCATGGCTGTTATGCAAGTTTTGGTTCATAAAACAGAGAAATTATATATGTGTAAATACTTACATGATACACCGGAAAACCAGCCATATTATAAAGCACGATTGTTATCTCAGGAGTTGAAAATTTACATATCCACGTGATGGGCTTGCTCTCATTTGATTTCGGTTTTACAACCGAAGCTTCCTCTCGAATTACCACTTTTTTCTTTTTGGAGGAGTGGAGACGCAACCAAGGCTTCAATCTGCTCATTATGATGTTGCATTGAAAACGTCCAAGTTTGATTTCAGTTTCAGCTCTAGCAAGTGAGATTGACTGGAAGAAAGAACCCATGAAAAAGAAAAGAGAATAAGCTTACATAGACAATACAAAAGAGAACAATTCATAGTCCAATAATCTAGACAGTTGAATTAGATTATTTGAATTGCTTGAGAGAAATTCAAATGAATAATCAAATCCCTTGACTACATGGATGAATAAACTAACAAACCTAATTTTATAATGATTTTCTCAACCATATATAACTTAAATTTATACATATCTTAACATATGCCAAATGGAATGAACAATATAGTAAGATAACTCAACTAAATAAATGGCTTAGGAATCAGACTTCCTTTATTCGGGCTTCTCTCCTTTTGAATAATTTCAAGTGAATAGCATGTATTTCACAATGAGGCTGTACAAATTTATATAGAAAAGAAAATCTCTAAAGAAAAAAAATTGAAAAAGTAAGGAAACTAATCATATTTATGTTTGTCATTTGGATTACCATCATCCTAAGTGGGACTCTTCGGAATCCTAATCATATTTATGTTTGTCATTTGGATTACCATCAATTATCTACCTTTTGCACTTTAATTGGACTTTGTGTTTTATGTTCCTGTTTGTCCTTTTAATTTAATAATCGTCATTGTTAATGGTGCTTTTTCTCGGCTTCTCCCCTCATTTGCCAACTTTGTCGATCTCTTTACGCCTTGAAACAATCTCCTCGTACTTGGTTTGGTACGGTGCTTTTCGTAAAGGTAAAAGATTTACTTCTAATCCTCATCATGTTTACAACATTGTGAGTTACCATCGATTGTCTCCTTCATTCGGGATGGAAACAAGCCATGATTGATGAGATGATGGATTTACAATCTAACCATACTTTGTTCCCCTCATGGAAAATCTATTGTTGGTTATTGTTGGTTGCAGGTGGGCGTTTAATGTCAAAGTAGGACCTGGTGGACAAGTTGATTGATTAAAGGCTTAATTAATTGCAAGAGGCTATACTCAAGTCTATGGTAAGATTAAACTGATCCCTTTTCACCAGTTGCGAAAATGACATACGTCACCTCTTTATAACTGTGGCGACATGGAAACATTGGCCCTTATTTTGGTTGAATATCAAGAATGCTTTCTTATACGGTGACTTAGAAAAAGAGATTTATATGGAAAAGAGATTTATATGGAGCAACTTTTTGGATTTATTGCTCAGAGGCTTATGTTGGTATGCAAAAGTCCTTATATGGCCTGAAACAATCACCTCTGGTATGGTTTGGTTGATTCACCAAAGTTCTACAGCAGCTCAAGATGATCCATTGTGAATCAGATAATTTAGTCTTTCTTAAGTGCCTATCATCAAATAAATATATTTATCTTTTGATTTATGTTGATGACATCTAAATTACAGGCAATGATCATGAAGGTATCAATGTATTGAAACAACACCTATTTTAAAGTTTTCAGACGAAGGAGTTGGGTCCTCTACGTTGCTTTTTTGGGTTTGAGATTGCTCAATCAAAGTCAAGTATTGTTAATTTTTCAGAAGAAGTATGCCCTTAATATTTTGAAGGAGATGGGTCTTATAGATTGTAAATCAGTCGATTACTGATATGGATCCTAATGTGAGGCTCCTTACATACTAGAGGAGCTCTATTTTGATCCAGATAGATAACGGAGACTAATGGAAAAATTGATTAATCTCACCTTGACAAGACGAGGCATATCTTTTTTCCAATTAGTGTCATGAGTCAATTTCTTAACTTTCCATGTGTCAGTCATTGGAATGCAATTGTTCAAATTCTTAAGTCAACAAAAGAGCTTTTGGAAATAGACTTGTTTTCACCGCTAGAGATCACTCAAATATTGTTGGATATTCAGATGACGATTGGACAGGAGATGCGAGCGATAAGAGATCTATTTCTAACTATTGTATTTTTGTGGATGGAAATTTGATTTCTTGGAAGAGCAAAAAGCAAATTTTGTTGCCCAGCCGAATACACGGTTGAGTATTGAGTTATGGCTCATGCTACATGTGAGTTTGTATAGTTGAAACATTTATTGCAAGAGCTACATTTTTTTGTGAGGTTGGTCAGATGGAACTTGTATGTGATAACCAATCAGCTTTACATCTCTCCTCCAATCTAATTTTTCATGCAAGTATAAAAAATATAGAAGTCGAGTGTCATTTCATTCGAGAAAAGATTCTCTCTAGAGTCATCATCAAAAGTTTCCTTGTCAATTTTAAGGATCAACTTGATGAAATCTTTATCAAATCACTACGAAGTACGAAGTCCTCGAATAACTTTAATATGTGACAAGATGGGCCGCATACGACATATATGCTCCACCTTGAGGGGAATGTTGAGATATTGATAATTATTATAGAGATACTGATATTTATGGTAGTATGATGTGTTAGTATCCTTTGGGATTATGATAGAATTACATTGCTAGTTAGTTTATATATCTTTCATGTATATAAATAGTTGTTAAAACCTTTTCAAATAAATAAGAAAATATTCAGATTCAAGTGTATTTAAAACAAAGAGAAATAACACAGATGACCCATGCATTCGGAAAAATCATAAATTCTTTCATAAAAGGCCTACTAAATTTATTTGTAATAATCTCAACCGTATTTTTCCCTTTTCTTGCTCCTAATTGTATTAAAGTTTCCCAGGTATGGTAAACACAAAGATACAAATATATAGATATAAAGGTGCCATATGTGGATTGCTAACAGCTTACCTGCACTGGGACACAGACAAAGGAGACCAATTTCACCTTCGTTATCTCCAAGACAGAAGCGCCGGCTTCTCTAAGAAGCTACGATATCAATGGTACCGAATAAAATTTGTCAGCAAGAAGCAAATTGAAAACGGGGGAAATCATACCACAAAAGGCTCAACAAATCAATAAACACACTACTACATACATGAATTTCTCTGAACTCCAGTTGAAAATGAAAGCGAGTGCTCTCCCCAATATCCTTATTGGAGCGTGATTTAATGCTATTAAATTGAATGCCAGTGATATTATTTTCAACAGAAAGACCATGCTCGCTATGTGCAAAATTCACATTCAGCTTTGGTAGATTGAAGCCCACCTATCAATACCAAGTATAATTCCACAGCTGAAACTAAGTCTAACTGAAAAAATTTTGAATAGCTTTTTGGTTCAATATACTCGCAAAAATATAATGCAAACAGATTGTCCAATTACACATCACAAAGAAGGCAAACACTTTGATTATGGTCTTGGGTTTCTAAATTAAATAACCCAAATAAAACCAAAAATACAAAGAATACAATCATAATATTCAGAGAGGTTCACAAGAATGTCTACCCCCAAAGTCAAATGCTAGTATTCTGAAAAAATGAAAGCTCCTTGAAAAGCTTAAACCGTCAACAAGGCACCCAAAGTCCAATGTATCATGCAAATTGCTTAAAGTGGAGTAAAGGTTGTGACTAAAACACATGACCATCAATTCCCAGAGAAACAACATTACCAGTGCGCTAAGCCTCTAAAAGTATACATGATGGTCAGAAAATCTAATTATGTTTAAATTTCAAACCTTCTCAGGAAACAAAGAACTGAAGCGTGCTAGTTTTTCTTGCTTTGTTGAAGACTGTTTTGTGCTCATGGAATCAACGCTTGACCTATCAGAGCCAGATGAAGATTCTGATGACCTCTTTTTTTTAATAAGCAGCCGCTCATTCAAATTTACAGCAATTTCTCCAATGGATACATCTACATTCTTAATAACAATACCCACTTCCCTGTGTTCAAGAAGGAGAGACAAAGCACAACTTAGAACCCACAGAAAAGTAAAAAATGAAATCCATAAAAGGATAAGAGCATCCAAGTTAAAGTCAAGTAACCCTACTGCAACATGGCATAAAATAGAACAAAATATTGTTTTCCTTTTAAAATTGAACTACAAGGGCGTCTATAGAAACTGCAAAGGGGAAACCAAGTTACATGGAAAGAAAAATACCTACGATGACCAAATTCACATGAGACGGAGAATTTTTCACAGATAAAAGGAGCAGAAGACTTTTCTGTAGGAGCAGCAGATGCCTGGCTAGAAACACTGCATCCTCCAACACTAAATTTAGATGATTGATCACAACTAACTTGAGGATCACTAATGTGAATGCCAATGGGCGAGATATGTAAGCTAACAAACAAATTTGATTCGGGCCCACCACCTTTAGATATATCAACATTCATCTTCCCAATCCCAACAGTACCTTTAGGTGTCTGCAACAATCAAAATACTCTCAGGGACCCAAAGAAGATTTTCTAACAATATCCCAGTCCCACTAGGAAAGTAAACAACGTAAATACAGACTAATTTAAAAATATAAGTACAGATGTTTCATTAGTTGAGTATTGGTACTATTGTCAATGTTTCATTAGTGACAGGTTTGTTGCTTCATTTCCACTAACTAGGATAGTTTTGCTCCCCATAATATAGTCCTACTCCTATTCTAGGCAAGTAGCTATTCACCCAAGTCTGTATAATGTAAATTACCTCTGCAATTTGAGACTAGATGAAATTGTATTTCTGATTAATGATTCTGTACAAGAGTGTTCAGAATTTATAGATACAGCAAATATCCTAAGGATAGACTATCACAATAAATACAAGTTAAATATTGAACAAATCTCTACATTCTATAACATATCTCAACAGTAATTATACAATCATACAAAGTAAAACATTCTTCCAAGTCATCTCATATAAGCATACTGACACCAAAAAACAACAGTATTGAAAATCAGCATGTTTCACCATACAAGAAGAAAACTGCGATGATATAAAGATTCATACCTTTAGAACAAACTCTGTCAAAGAAAAAGAAAGATATCTTGCAATATTGACAATAGTCTTCCATTTTCCCTTGCCTAAAGAACGAGTTTTGGATTTCTGAGTTTTCTTCTTTGCAGAGCTTTTATTTGTACTTGTAGGCCTCATAACAACTTCTAAGTTGCATATTGATAATTGCAACTTTGGATTCCAAGAACGAAAACCCACACCAGGTTCGACAGAGGAATATAATAAGCTGAGTTTAATTTCACCAATACATACAGATTCAGTAGCACCCTGTACATGTCATAAATCAACAGAATATATTGCTATGGAATCCTAGAGACACAAACATGACAGTTCACTAGAATAAAAGCAAATAATTTGAACTATGATATACAGAATGGGTGTATAAAGAAAACCAGATCAGTTGAACTAAGCTTCTATACCATAGGTTTCGGAAACTGAGGGAAAATTTTTCTTTAGCTCATTTAGGAATAAATAGGGGAAAAGGATGATGAAAAACCACTTGGGTGGCAACATACTAGGCTACTTCAAATTAAATTCTCCCGAGTTATTTGCTTGTACAATTTATCCTTGTAATAAGTCTGTTTTTCCCTAGTGAAGTAGGTAATTAGTCAAAGTCAGTTATTATTCCATACAGCCTACTATTGTGGGACTCAGTTATTATTCTCAAGGGGAAATTTTAGTCAGGAAATACACATGGATTACCATGATAAGACCCAATAAAAGTGATTTTTAGTATATCCAACTTCGGGCTGAATGTACCACAGTTCCCTTCAATATTCTAAACTTTTAAATAAAGAAGTGGATGAAGGCAAAGAAAAACCTTTACAAACTTCACAGCCACATCCCGTAAACTGTTACATCCGCCAACACAAAATTCAACAGATGCACCCAAAATACGGCTCAAAATCCAAGACAGCAATGCAGAAGAAAATCTGTAATTAACATGTGCAATCAAAATCAAGTAACACAATTAGTCGGGGTCCAATTTGATTTATGGATACCAAGAATCTAAACCAAAAAACAAAGAATCAGCATGGTTCAGATAGCACAAGCCTTTAAAGCACTAAGCAACATAACATTCAACTTAAATCATAAAGCATAGTATGCTATCATCATTTCTGTGTGAAAGAAAAAAACAATGACAAGAGTCGTCAATGGGATGTAATTTGACAACAAATTTTGGAAAGTGGCAATATCTCCCTCCATAAGGACACTAACTCCAACTGTGTATGCTTCTCTTGGCAAACAAGTTTGCTAAACCCCTGCCACACCCACACCATTGGTTAAACTTTCAGTTTCTATCAAATCATATTGCAATAGTGGACAAGTTTACTTGATAGAGTAAAAGGAATAATTTTCCAAGTGTTAAACATGTGCACAATTGTACACAGATGGTTTACACTTTATAGGCTACTACAAATAATACCAAAGTAAATGACAAAATCATCCCTTATAATGAACCACCAATTAATACTTTAGTTAGTACACCTAAAAATTGATTTCAATGGACACTCTTAGAATTAGGGCATTCAGTCTAAATTAACCCCAAAAGCTAGCTCAAATGGTGAAGATTGCCCTAGGCTTTTAAAGGCTAATTTGGCTATGTTTCTAGTCGAATTGGGACCACAACACTATCTGTTAGACTTACAACTAGACATCAAAAGTGTGAACAAATGTGGGTGGCCTAATAACCAAAAATCTTAACACGCTTTCTCAAATCCAAGGCTAGACATCTGAAGCGTAACAAATATAAGAGGTCCAATTAAATATCTAGATAAACTTCGATACTATTCTAAAATTAGGTTTTTGTCATAAATTAGCCACAAAAACTAGCTCAACTTGTTATCATGAACCCCCAAGCCATAATGGATTATTTAGTCGGTATGTCTAGTCAGTGTAGGATCTCAATAGATGCATATGGTGTACAAATTGTCAACATCTCCATTATGAAGTTCTTATCAAAATCAAAATGATCGGTTCTATCATATTGCATAGGATTATGTGTAATGTTTATAGCTAACTTGTTATCAAAATATAGTCCGGTAGGTTTTTTCGTTCAACCTTTATATCTGTTAAGATATGTATTAGATTTAAATAAAATAGTTTATCAAGTTAAAATTTCTATGATAGGGTTTGTTGGGTTTATTCCTATAATCAAGGGATTTAGTAACAGATTTGATTGTAAAATGTAATCACTTATTATAAATAATAAGGCAGAGAGTTCTCTCAAGCAATTCAAATTATCTAATTCAACAATATCTTCTAGGATTATGCTACTTACCATTTGAGTTAAGGCTAACTCAACCTCACAAATGTTCCATTAAATCTCTTGGCTACTAACCAAACCAAATCAGTAGATCTAGGGTTCATTGTCTTTCAACTTACACGCCACACTTAAAGCGTATTTAGTTGATATTTTCATCATAGTAATATTTACTCATCACAACGCAGGGAAACAAAAAGAGAAAACCTAGGGTTTTAAAAAACGGTTTGCAACCGCAAAAACGACGACAAAACAGTGTCAGCAAATTCCGATACCGATACCGTTATTAACCATTTTTATGTTAAAGAACAAATTGTGTTAACTTACACTGCGACGACACCGCATTCAGTGTTGCAACACCTATACAGCGAAACCCTTTACGTGACCGCATCGCGACGGTTTTTTAAAACCTTAGCAAACAGAAACTTGCTAATCTGGAACTCTTCACTCAAATGATCGCATTCACTCATATCTAAATTCCAACAATCCAATAACACATTTATAATTCCAAATGATTTCAACCTACAGACTATAACAAGCGTGTAAAATTCCGATTCCAATTCAAACCACTAATACTTAATCACAAAATACATATTGAACTCAAGTGCATCAAAAACAACAATGATTGAATACTATCACTAAATATGCTGAAATTCAACGCATTGAACTTACGTAAAGAGGAGAAACACTGCAACACAAAAGAGGAAGAAGATAGAGAGGATATTGGCGGCAGAAACTGCCATTTTCGAAGGGGAAAATCAAAATACGAACACGATTTTTCGCTCACGTAACTCTGTAGCGGGTTGAATCGAAAGAAGCATTGAGGAGTGGAAACGGGAAAAGAAAAAATGGATCCAAAACGTTCTGTTTGTGCTTAGAGAAACAAGATCCGCTCCGTGAGGTGCTCGGTGATTGAAGGCGTGACACTGGTAAATGGAAATGGCGCTAATGTAACGGAAAGTGCTTTTATATTTAATTAGTTAGTACCATGATATTTTAAGAGAATTTATTCCCCCACCCACTTATGCGCTTTCAAAAATACTCCTTATTTTTCAAAAATATATTTTTGGGCGCATTTTTTTTTATTTAAATTTGATTTTTTTCGAAGATACATCTACAAAGTATTTATGTTTATATAGTTTCAGAACAAATTAGAATACATCCGCGCCAGAGTCCCTTCTCTTTTTTCATTTTTCAACTTTTTCACTCTCAAACTTTCTAAACTCTCTTAATCCTAAAAAAAAAAATTCAAACTTAATTGTTTTCAATCAAGTTCGACAATGAGCATTCATCTCAACAATCAAGACACTCCAAATCATTCAAAGCTCGATATAATTGATAAGTTTTCGAGTTATTTTCGAGTATTTCCCATAAACGAGTTAGAATATAATTTTAGGTGTAAAAATTGTTAGATAGTTTTAGAAATATAGTTTAGATACAATGTAGATATTGTTTGTTGGCTGAAACGGACAATCAGGATTTCAAAAAATCAATTTTCATGGGTAGGGGACGTTATTGTCTATTAGAGTTGCAGAAAGTTCTGGAGCTACATCTGCGGAACAAATTAGCGTTAGGGCAATTCCGTAGATGCAGCTCTGGAACAAATCAAACTTTCTGAATTCTGGATTCTTCTGTTGATACATATACGAAAGTTTTCCGTATGTTTACATCCGGAAGTAAAAAAATGTTAATTTTTTTCTTTTTTGTTTTTTTAATTTATTTGTATTTAATTGTTTTTTCTTGGTTATACCTTGCAGACATTATGGAAGACAAAGAAAATAGATTGCGACTTGGACGGGTTTCACAGCATGCATCTGTGAGACGCGAGCGGAGGCAGAACACTATTACCGAGGTCGATGCAGTTGAGGCACATTTTTCTTCATCACATGCCTAAGACATTCTCTCGACCTCATATCCCACCCCATCATCCACTTATTCATCCCGGAGGCGTCGGGATTCAGCTGAGGGTTCATCACAGGCTTCGTCCTCCCGCAGGCCTCGTTGGGATACTCCTAGTTCCCCCTTCTGCTAATGATCTAGTGCCACCTCCAGAGGGTGATGACCTACCACCGGAGGATGCTGGTGACGACGACGATGATGAGCCTGAGAGTTTTCCAAGGGGTCCCTCAGATATGTCCCTGCTGACAGGATACGCTGACCATACTGCCAGACATGTATGGGATGGAGAGGTAACATTACTCAGATTGTTTCTTTTTTTTCATTAGAAGTTTATAATTTGTACAATTGTCTCTTATTAACATTGTTTCTTATTTATGAAAAATTTCAGACTCGTCAGCCGCAAAAGTTCTATAACCAAGGGCAAAAGATATTATCTTTGGAGCAATCACAGGAGGCTTGATTTCAGGATGTCCTTGTCGCCTCTGGTTTGAAGGACCTTTGTGAGATCGGTTACAGCCTGATCCACAACGAGATGTTGATGGGATTTACCGAGAGATGGCACCTTGAGACGTCCTCCTTCCATCTATCGCACGACGAGCTCACGATCCCCCTGGACGACACCTCCTGTCTGCTGCATATACCGATCAGGGGTATCCTCCTCCGTCACTGTAGAATGATAAGGAGGATACGAGAGATGTTGGTCAAGGAGCTTGGGGCTGATCCACTGATGCGCTGAAGGAGGTGGATAAGACCAGAAGGGTTCATGTCAGGTTCTCCTTTCTCACCCGTAGATTTTGTGAGGCGCTTGTTGTTGCACGCCAGGAAAATGATGATCCAGCTGAGGTTGAGATACACAGACAACGTGTGCTGAGATGTTATTTTCTATTTTTAGTCGGCACTCAGTTGTTTGTGGACACTTACTCCGCATATACAGATGTCGCTTACCTAAGGTACTTTTTAGATTTCACACGGATCTATGAGTACAACTGGGGGGCGGCTACCTTGGTTTACACGTATTTGAGGCTGGAAGAGGGATGCCTATGGAAGACCAGGATTGTGGCAGGGAGCGTGGCACTACTTGTGGTAATAATCTTATATCCTTCGACTTTTTTTCATTTCTTTTCATTCTGTATTCAAGATAATGTTTGATCTTGATGTTTTTTATTTTCATTTCAGTCTTGGATATTCCAGTACTTTCTCATGATCGCGCGGGTGGGAGTATGCCTGATTACATAGAGCAGATGTTGTGTGTCTGTGCCTTTCTCCCGCTCAGAGGGAATCAGACGGTCGACCCTTACAGATTTATCTCAATCGCCTGGTTGCTGAGGACATCCAGTATGATGTTTATGCTGATCACCATATGACGCGTTCGTTTGACGATATCTCCCTATTCTAAGGATGGTTGGCATGCAGTTCGATCATCATTATTCCATATTTTACCGAGCGCATCGTGTGGCAGTTCGGCTACACTCAGACCATTCCCAGACACCCAACTGTCTCCGCTCCTCTCAGCTTGACCCTTATGCAGATAGAGAAGATCTATGTCGACTGCCAGAGGCACATGATATCTGACGAGGCTCGGGCGACCAGAGTGTCGAGATACAGGAGTTGCGTTAATGGTTATATCATGTGGCTATTCACCGTCTCACACCCCTATATGGTTCTCACTTCCGAAGGATCACCGCCTAGACCAGCTCATCAAGAAATCTTAGAGGAGCGGCAGTATCAGTTGGACCATACTCAGGAAGTTCTGCCTCGCTGTCGTCTGATAGTGGAAATGGGACGGGCAGGCATTGCCGTCGGTTTCTTCCATGAGGGGTCGGTCCACATGCGTGTATTGGATGACATGATTGCGGTGGCAGCATGGGCACTTATGTACCGCAGGCATCGCGCCAGGACCGATGGGATTAATGGTCGAGGACGCAGACCGGGCGGTCGAGGAGGCTAGAGAGGCATACGAGGCGGCAAAGACATAGGCGGAGGAGGGGATGCAGATGTTGTCAGGCACACACAGTAGTGACTGTGATGTTTTTTTTATTTACTATATTTTGATGACAGATGTACTATTTTTTTATGATGATTATTACATATTACTTTTTATACATATCATATTATTTTGTTTTACGGATGTATATCATTTTATATTCATCTGCAACAGTTAATTTCTATCTGCGACCAACAAAACTTGATTTTTTTTTAAAAACATGTTTTGATAAGATTTCGGAGATGCATCTTCGAAACTTTTTCCGTAGATGCATCTTCAGAAGCATCCAGCGTAAAGAAAAAAAAAAGGTGCGTCTGAATATGTATCTCTGAAAGCATGAGGCATAAAAAAATTTGTTAAATGTCTAAGAGTATTAAGGAATGGATTAAGAAATTTTTTATTTTAAAGTATATATTTGGTAGTATTTTGCTAAAGAAAATTATATAAAGTTTGAAAAATGTTATTCTTACACCAAATCTTACACTTACACCGTATTTCACTGTTCATCAATACGATGAATAGTGAAATATATAAAAAAAATATTTTTTTTAAATTTTTTTTTAATTTTTAAATTAAATAATATTGATCTAAAATTACACGATTAACCAACTCCATATCTTCATTAACCAACTTTTTACTTTTCATTAACCAACTTTGGTTTACTATAAAAAAAATATTTTTAACTTTGAGCGTCTATTAACCAATTTAATCACTTCATTAACCAATTTTTTATATTTTATTAACCAACTTTATTCACTATTTTAAACTACTATTCACAGATACTGTTCATGTATACTATTCACGCGCTGTTCATGGGTACTATTTATGCACTGTTCATTTACTGTTTATGAAAATATTTTTTTATTTAAGAAAATATGCTGGTGTATGTATTGGTGTACAAATGAAATGTAGGAATAGCAAACCTAATAAAGTTTTACTTAAAGGTTTACAATAATACGGTAGCATATTTGTGGTCGTGCTTTCTAGATCAATTTTTAGGTAAAAACTATGTAAGCATTCAATTTTCAATTTATAAAAAAAAATGTTGTTAATATTAATACTATGAATAAAAACATGTGCAAAACTAAGTTTCATACAAAATATAGCATATAATATTTTTAAAATTAATATTATGAATGATAATATTAAATTAAAATAAATTAAGTTAATAAATATTATTAAAACTAAGAATATTAAATTAACTCAATACATTAATATATATATATATATATATATATATATATATATATATATATATATATATATATATATATATATATATATATATATATATATATATATATATATATATATATATATATATATATATATATATATATATATATATATATATATATATATATATATATATATATATATATATATATATATATATATATATATATATTGTTCTGGATTAGATCAGAGGCTGACCCACCTTAATGCATGGTGCCTTATCATTTGATATATGCGTACTACGTGTGTGTTATTGTATGTTAAATATATGTTTTCTTTGTATTTGTGTATTTTTGCTAAGTGATTAGAGATTTTGTTCGACGTAGTTGATCCTCGGCCGTGCAAGGGACTAGCAGAGTGGTCGTAGTTGGGTTCTAATCATCGACAAAGCTAAGAGCTCGATCAAGGTCTTTGCTCCGTGGCATGAACTTCCCATCGCGAGCTGGATGTCCTGCCTAATTGGTACGACAACGTTGGAGCTTAATTGAGGTGTCCCCGTCGGATCCAAAGTTCGCTCGCACACACAAGAGCGGGCTCTCGTCTTTTTGTCTCGAGTTTAGGAGTCACGCTTGTACCCTAGCATGCTCATGTGGTCGCGATGAGAGTACGTCCCTGGCAGTGTTT